GACTTAATTCATCATAATATACAATAGAATACATAGCATTGACAGTAAGATACTATTTCAATAAATGATGAATTGGCGGGGGTTCAGTCTGAGCTGTTTTTCAACCCTACCATGAGAAAGGGAGTGTCTTTTCTACAAGTATAATCGAAATACAGAAATCTATAAAGGCAGTCGAACAGATGTGTATGGCTATCAAGATTGTCAGTCCGAATTTACTTTAAATTTGATGTTCAATCTTTTCTTGAAATTCTGTAGACTGAATGATTTATATGCATTCGGTAATTCGTTATAGAGCCTGGCGGCATTGTTAGAAAAACTGCGAGTATAAATGGAACTGCGATGCTTTAGGATTACTAAGATATTTTTATGTCGCGTCTGAGAGTTGGGTATGCTTGAGAACAACTCCAATCTCTCACAAAGGTAAGCTGGTTTTCGTGTCAGAAATGTTTTGTAGGTAACTGTGAGGAGGTGTAGTTTTTTCACATTGTGGCTAATGTGGTCCAATTTGCGACATCCTTATAAGTACCTTATACAAGCATTTTGTATTCTCTGCAGACGGAAGGAATCGCATAGGCGTTAAGAAGGTCCATAAACACTGTCACAACATGAGAGCTTTGAAAAAATGAGACTTTCGCATAATGTCAGCTTCATCTTTGTGGAAAGAAGGTCACGATTCGGGTACAATTGTCTGATACCTTACATAAGTTGCTGACATGTCCCGAAAATCTCAGCTCATTGTCTAGATACAAACCTAAATTCCAGCACTCCTTGACCTGAGGGAGGTAGTCATTTTCAATTTCGATTTTTATCTGTCCAGTGGCTGAATTTATGCATGATATACGACCCAAAATCATGAAAGAAGATTTTTTCCCATTGAGCTTCAGATTGTGTGCCGTAGATATGATCTTAATTTATTAATATTTCTGAGTTAGTTATGGAAGTCAAGTTTAAAATGGCGTATATTTGTGTGTCGTCGGCGTAATGGTGGGTTTGACTATTCTGTATGTATTCAATTTGTAGAATTGAAAAGAATATTCATTGTTTTTCCTGCATTGAAGGAGACAAATTTTTCTGTTGCAATAAGATGCTAGTTTCTTGTTCGTATTACTCCATTCCTTCATTGCTCTGCTAATCTGGAAACCATAGTTTATTTCAATCTCTTCGAAGAACCCCATTGTTATCTGAAGGGTATAATCTTAGCAACTGGGGAAATGTACAGGAAAATGGATTAACTGGGTCTCTCAGTCAAAAATAAAAACTTTGATTTACTTTGCCAAGCTTTCACTTCTACTGGGAAGCTTCTTCAGGGCAGTAAAAATGAGTATAGAACAATGAATCAAACATATAAATTGATAATAGGAAGTGAAACGTGTAGGATATTTTTGTTTAAAACTTTTCAAGAACATTGAAGTTGCTGACATTAACAATGCCATTTAAATTCATTTCACTTCAAATAATAATTTTTTTGGCAGTTGGTAAATCAATTTCCTTGGGATTTCACGTTAGTTCATACTCCTGTTCACCGACATTGAATAATTACATATTATATTTGTCCTGGAGGACATAACTAATTCAATCGAAATCTTTACATGTTCCACAAAATAAATTTGACGATATCTTCCATTATTTTGTTGATATTTTCATCAAGATATAAAGATAAGTAATATGTCTGCTCAAAATATTTGCAGGTGATCTGACAGTTCGACTTTGGGACATAGAAACGAATGACAATTATGTGCTGTCGACAGTAATGAAAATCTATGACACCGACGACAAGTTCAATACAGTGAATGAAATTTTTACCTGCATTACATATTGCAAAGTGAATCAAACACTATGCGCTGGAACGAACATTGGTAGAATATATTTCTGGACAAGAAAGCAGAACCAGGTTGAAATAGAAAACCCAGAAGATAGTTGGGAGTTGACTAACGTGAATGCTATAAATGGAACAATAAAGCAGCTGAAGTGGGGTTCTTTCATTTCAAGATTGCCACTTTTGAGTGTGAATTGTGTTACATCTGTGTACATAATGAAAGAACAAAGAATATGCAGTAAATTTTCTGAGAAAATTTGGGGTACACAAAAAACTGCTTCTCAGATTTTATTAGAAAGTGCAAAGAGCGACTACTTATTGCAATTGGACTCCCAGGTTACTGATATGGCGATTTCGGAAAATCTTTTAGCTTTCACTAATGGAAGAAAAATCTTCATGTATGCGGTAACATGGGAGAAGGATAACAATATATTAGAACTGAATTCGGGGAAAGCAAAAGGTAAGAAAGGTAATACTGTCAATTTAGCACAAGACTAATTCACAATAAAAATACAATTATAAAGGGTTATTGAAAAATATTGTATATTCAGTAAATTTACAGTCTGTATCTTGAATGATGTCATTAATCTCACGTGGTGATTACTTGACATATTTCACGAAAAAAGTTCATATGAACGTGTGTCCTAACATGCTTCGTTTCCGAGTAACAGAGTGTCACAGTTTTATAAAAAATATTGATCTTTTATTAAAAACTCACTGCCGTATTCGTTATGAGTAACTGCCTAATTAAAAAATCCGATCGGAAGTTCCTAGGTAGCAGTCCTCACTCCACTCTCCTCAGCAATCAGATGAAAAAATAATAAAATTGTTGAGCGTAGTATATATACAGCGCGACTCACGGTCGATGGTAGGTTAGACGTTTCTGGAAAACGCAAAACATGATTTTTCTGAAAATTTCACCTCTCACATTTCCTGACCTGTTCTATCGATCTAAAATATTTTCAGCATTGCGGCGTTGCCACTTCCATCAAAAAGTCCTAGCAACTTTATTTTTTTAACACCCCGTATAGTAATACATTTTTGGAATCGCTCTGGTATTTTAATACTTTTTTGTTATGACCGTGAAAGTCGATACATTTGCATTGAAATTACGGTCTAATTATTGGGTTGCCATGGTAACACATTAACAGGTTACTTTTTACATTGTGAAGACTCGTAATGAAAGAAAAATATTAACATCAATAGGAAATTATCAAATAATCAAATAAAAGAAAAATAACTATCAAAATTATATTTTTATTGTGGTTCAATTCATTATAAATTTGAAAAGAAGTCCTCATAACATTGCGGTACACATTTTTTTCATCAATGATAATATACCTTCTTTTTTTCTTTCTGTAATTCCCGGTTTGACAAAGTTAGCAGGTTTCAAATTATAATTTGTGATTGACCTTCTGCTGTTGACGATGCTTGTCTTTCCTTGTGCTTCGAGAAGTTTGGCTTCAGTTTTTTGCCATTTCTCTTCCATTTTCATTCTTTTTTTTTTCCTTTTCGAACAATACTTGTCTTTATTTTCACTTCTCTCTTCTTGACAGAAATGTCTTTCGTTTCTAGGGGAGTGTAGTCAAGGTCTCTTATACTGTTGTCAGAGCTAAAATCGCGTCGTAGCTAAAAATATATTTCTATTTTATTATAAACGTGACTAATTACTGTCTTATTTTATTAACATGTATTACTTTTACTATTATTAAGTATGCCATTTTCTATGTACCTGACGATTCCTATACGTGTTCAATCATATCAAAAAGAAAAATGAAGATTATTATTATTATTAATAATATTGTTTTACGCTGCCTAATAGGCCTCAAGCGGTTCCAGTGTGCCTTATATGCATTAAAACTGTCGCTATTGTTAAGAGCGACACTACGAAAAAACTCGTCAGCAATTTCACAAAAACTTTCCTCTTGGCAGTAAGACTCGTAAAGAAAAACTTCATGAATATCTCAGTTCTCACAAAAAAAAACACAAAATTACTAGTTTGTTGCATAAGCGAGCAATAAAAATCCACATATGCAACGCTACATGATTGCTGGACGCTTAATAAACAGCAGAAACCATTTTCAGATTCTGAGATGGTGAAAAAATGTATGTTAGAAGTAGTCACGGCACTTTTTGAAGAAAAAAAGATGTTGTCGCTGTATTTCAAAGTATTTTATTATCAGCGAGAAGTAATACATGAAAAACGGAAATTTTTGCTGCTGATATTAAAAACACTTTTACGGCAACACGACCAAATGTTCGTTGTTCGTAAAGATCAAGTTATTGAAAGTTTCTGCAAAACTTAGATACGGAGGGAACCAGAAAGCATAAACAAACGTAATATGCTGGTCGTGGCTTTTTTAAAAGATATTTTGCAATATTCAAATGCGCTCAACACAGAATCACAAGGAAATGTATTGCTGTTCATTTTTCCCCAAAGTTCATATAAGCATGGGTCCTCGATTAGAGGTTAGGTTAGGTTAGGTCTAAAGTGGCTGGGTTTATTCGTCCTTCCACCGCGACACACACTGTCTTTCGACAATCCGAGTCTCTGCATATGATGACTCAAATGACGATGACCTGTAAGAAGGCCTGTTAGACATCGTAGTTCATCCCTACTGTAGTCCAACAACTGATTAATATCAATCTTCGAAGGGTGAATAAACGCCCTGGAGTGAGCCAATCCTGGAAGTTTCTCCAAGAGGTCTATACATCTTCTTGCCATCCAGATGTTCAATGTTTGTTTGGCAAAGCCCAAAGCGATACCAATGACAGGTTCTGGTCCGATTAAGCTGCTTGCAGCACCCCCTTTGCATTGCCTTCCAGGCCATCACGGTCAGGAATCTAGACCAGAAACAATCTGTTAAGTCTTCCTATCGAGGAGAGTCATTTTTGGCAATTTGCTACCAATTTAGACGTTGCTCGATAGGAGCCAAGAGCTTTTAACGCCGCATGACTGTCCGATAATATTTTTATTGACTTCTGTATGAGGTTGGATTCTTCCAATCTCTCTGCGTAAATTTCCGCATGACAGAAATACTGGGTCCAGTACTGTTCACTATTTTTGTCGATGATATCACCTCAACATGCAAACAAGCGCACAAAATAATGTATGCAGAAGACACAACTATGAGTGAGAGAAATCAACTTAGCAAAAACAGTAGAAACTGCCAACACCGTTGCAAACTAATTTCACACATGGTGTACCAGTATGGGCTTGTGTGTGAACAGAGAAAAATCAAATTTTATCTCATTTATTCCAAACAACATCAATAATACGTTCTGTTCCCTGATTAGAATTGATGGCAAAAGTATTGAACAGGTCACATCAACGAAGTTTCTAGGTATTACCTTGGATCATAAGCTAAGCTGGGAAAACCATATTAATAGCTTATGTAATAAACTGAGTAAAAACTGCTTTGTACTAAGGCAATTGAAGAATACAGTGTCAATGGACGTGCTGTTATTGGTTTACTATGGGCTGATATTTTGGGGAGGCTCAACTCAAATAGAAAATGTATTTCTACAGCAAAAGAAAATTATTAGATGCATAAAAGATGTACATCAAAGAATATCATGCAAAGAAATATTTACTGAATTATCTATTCTAACTGTGCCATCATTGTACATATTTCAAACTATTTTAAACGTAAAAAAACAATTGGAAGTACTACCTACAAATAGTGCTCACCATAACTATAATACACGAAGTGCAGGGAATTTGCAGCAGCTGTTTTCGAGACTTGCCATTGGTCAATGCTCTCACATATACAAAGGCATCGTATTTTATAATTATTTCAAGAACAAATATGGCAGTGAAAAAAATTTTCAATGTTTTTAAAACTTTTAAATCTCTTTTAAGTAAGTTCTTGCTGAGAAAAGCATTCTATTCCGTGAAGGAATTTTTAAATGACTGAATATGACCTTTTTAACCTTTTTCAACAAATTTTAGCGTTGAAAGTAGGTTATGTATGTAGAATAGTCTTATAAACAGGTATATATTCTGATTTTAGTTGACTAGTCTAATGAAGTGGTAACATTTGTGTACCAAATTATTTTGTAACATATTATGTTCTACTTTTACAGATGATTAAATTCTATTCTATTCTATTTATAGCTTCCTAGGCAGGTAGATATCCCTGTCCTGGGTCTGCGACTAAAAACACCTGCACCAGAACCGGAAGGTGTTTTGATCCATCTGTCAACCAACAACTATCTGCTCTTAATACTCCCTTTTCCCGGAGGATCCAATCCTCTCTACTCGGGAACAGTACTTTATAAGGCAGTTCGTAGTTGACAGTTGGAGGCACAAAGTCAGACGTCATTTCCAGAATGCTGTGAATTCCAGTGTCAACCAAAAGTCTGTTGCACTCTGCATTAAATTGATTTGTACAATTGGCAATGTGCACAAGTCTGTATGCAGTCCATCTAGCCTCTCTTTCCAGAAAAATGTGGAGAGGAGGTAAATCTAGAAGGATCTCCACGGCGCTGACGGTGTGGTACTGATGGTACCACTAATAGCCAGACAAGCCTGTCTCTGTAAGCCAGAGAGCATCGCCGTTTTTCTGCCGCATTTGAAGACAAAATGTGACGTAATCCATCTTGAGTTCATTCAGGTTGAAGCCTGGCTCCCTTCCCCTTTTAACTGGTGTTTGTCAGAAAGACAAACGGGTCATGACTGGTGTTTGATGGTGGCATGAAATGCGTCAGACATCCATACCGCCCTGCGCTGTATACCCCTACCTGGCTGGGGTGAGATGGATATGAAGATATTATTCATCTGTTAACGGAGGACATAGGGGCCTCATTCGACAGAGTGTCGGGGCCTTCTATATCGGGAGGGGTCGTACAAAATGTGAAAAACCAAGAATAGTACATAATAAAAATAACTGCATAGATGCAAGTGAGACATAAGTGGAACCACCTATTGGTGTGACACCCAAGTTAGCTTGTCAAGTTTTTATGTCGGCGTTGCAGGTTTGGCCAACCAACTGACAACTGCATTGGCAGAAATTTGGGAAGCTTTCCTGGAATATCATCGAGAAACGAATCCACATGTTTCTAGAAATGATATAAAATCAAAAAAGGTTAATGCAGTCAAGCTACAGGAAAATATGAAAATGAAATTCAAAACATAAAGATGAGTTCTATGAGGATGAATACTAGAAGACAGCTGTTGCAGCCTGTTGGACATCGCAGTACCGGGGAGGCGGTAATCGATTCAAGACAAAATGTGAAAAACCAATAGTAGTACTTAATAAAAATATCTGCGTGAAAGCAAGCGAGACATAAGTTATTTTTATCAAGTACTGTTCTTAGTTTTTCACATTTTGTCTTAAATCAAGGACTGCCTGCTCGGTACTGACAATGCCCAACAGGCTGAAACAGCTGTCTTCCGGTGGCTCTGGAATTGAAATCAAATTAGGAATGATCAGAATAGTATTCATCTTCATCTTTTGAATTCCATGGAATTATTTTCCAGCAGCTTGACAGCATTAACCTTCCTTGATTTTATATCATTTCTAGAAA